ATTGTTGACAACTTCCAGTTTTCCCAGATTCATACTTCTTACATTCCATGTTCCGATTTTCAATAGATGTTTACAGCTGTTTTTCTTCATTTTGAGTTGTGCCCATCAGCAAATGAAGGTCCCGTGGTCCTACTCCCACAGGCTTTACTCCGTTCGCGTCATCACAGTCAACTCTATTTTCAGGACGCAGCTCTTCCCCAGTCGCATTTTGAGTCCCTTCCAACCTGAGAGGATCATTTCCCAGCACTGTATCTGACAGGATAACCAAAATCAGAAGCAGTGAAGTTGATTCTGACTCATAGCGACGCTGTACAGGGTTATTGAGGTTGTAAGTCTTAATGAGATCGGAAAGCCTCCTCTTTCTCCTTTGGAGTGGCTGGAGGGTTTGAACTGCTGACCTGGTAACTAGCAGTTCAGTGCTTACCCTACACTTATACCAGCACTCCTTAAAAATATAACTAGTAACAATATTCATAAAGGACAAATGTGCACTTTACTGCCAGCACAAGAAGCCTTCAAAATGTTCTTGGAAAAATGGAGTTGAAAGATAATGGAATTTTTCCACAAACTTTTTGAAGCCCCCTCATATTTTATTAAATATGAGAAAAGGAATCTGTCGTTTAGTCTGTTTTGATTTTCAGTTACATTGACTTCTCTTCACCAACTCCTCCTTTGCGTGTGCCTGAATATTAATTTTAGGATTATTTGGAAATATGAAAGCATTGTAAAAATTCCAACTCACATTAAAACAAATGTAAAAGAGAATTTTATTTTAGAGGCCATCACAGAAAAGCATTTCTGTGTCTAATTTATTTTCACCATTTGTTGGATTGTTATGGTTGTTAAGGGCCATCCAGTCAGTTCTGATTCATAAATCCTCTATGCATAACAAAAGAAAACAGTATCCAGTACTGTGCTCTTCTCACAATTGTTGCTACTCTTGAACCCATTGCTGCTGTGACTGTGTCAATCCACCTCCTTCTGGGTCTTCCTTTTTTTTTTTTTTTGCTGACCCTCCACTGTACCAAGCTTGATATCCTTCTCCAGGGACTGGTTCCTCTTGACAAAGAGATAAAGTCTTGCCATCCTGATTTCTAAGAAGCATTCTGGCTGTACTCCTTCCAAGTCAAATTTGTTTGTTCTTCTGGCAGTGCTTTTAATATTCTTGTACAGCATTATAATTCAAATGCATGGGTTCTTCTATGGTCTTCCTTATTCATTGTCCAAGTTTCACATGCATACGAGGTGATTGAAAATACCATGGGCTGGGCCACCTCAATCCTCAAACGGACATCTTTGCTCTTGAACACTTTAAAGAGGTCTTGTGCAGCAGATTTGCCTAATGCAATACATTTTTTGATTTCTTGACTGCTGCTTACATGAGTGTTGTGTATCCAAGCAAAATGAAGTCTTTGACAACTTCAATCACTTCTCCATTTATCACAATGTTATTTATTGGTCTGGTGGTGAGGATTTTTGTTTTCTTTACATTAAGGTGCAACCCATATGGAAGTCTCCGGTCTTTGATTTCCATCATTAAGTATTTCAAGTCCCTTTCATCAAGCAGTGTTGTATCATTTGTAGATCACAGGTTGTTAATGAGTCTTCCTTAAATCCTGATGTCACATTCTTCTTCATATAATCCAGTTTCTCTGGCAGTATACAGATCAAACAAGTATGGTGAAAGGATACAAGTATGGTGCACACCTTTCTTGATTTCAAACCATTCAGTATCCCCTTGTTTTGGTCTAACAGCTGCCTCTTGGTCTATGTACAAGGTCCTCATGAGGGCAATTAAGTCTTCTCGAATACCTTTGTTAGATTAAAGAATTATTACTTTACCACTTGTGATTACACGTAAGGTATCAAGCATAAAACCTTCGTCTCCCTCTGCTACCCTCCCCAGCCAGCTACCCTCCCCAGCCCTCAGGACCCAAATCGCAGACATATCTTGGCGTCACCAGATAAATTTGTCAAACAGCTCATGAAATTCTAAAACCAAGCAAACTGAAAACAAGCCTAAGATACTAATAACTGTAAATGAAGAAACTCCTTGAGAGACTTAAAGTTTTCTAAGGGTTTCTTGCGCTCTCAGGAACTCTTGCAGCAAAACTACAACTCCCAGAGCGCTTAGAGAGAACATGCGCGTCGCCGCGTTGACACTTGCAAGCTCCCTCCCGCCTTCTCACTCCAACGATTGGATACTCCCGTTCCGGGTCTCGGGACTTCTCTCATTCCATTGGCTGAGGCTCCAGTGGGGTCAAATTAGAGAGTTTTTGGGCGCCCGGGTCCCTTCCAGCCCCCGGCCCTCCCCTCCGTACAAGATGGCGGCAGAAGCAGCTGGTGGCAAATACAGAAGCACTGTCAGCAAAAGCAAAGACCCCTCGGGGCTGCTCATCTCTGTGATCAGGTGAGGGAGGCAGGAGGCAGGGGCAAGGGTCCTCTCTCGGCTTTGGAAGGGAAAGGGGGTGTCTGGGTACGCCCTGCTGACCTCCCCTTCCCGCCTTGTCCCCCCCTTGGCCCCTCCCACGGGCCTCAGCAGGTCCCCTCGTCTCTGGGGTCGGACTGGAGGGAGGAACGCCTCCCACAGTCATTTCTCAGGGCTACAGCCTTCGTTAGGGTCCCGGGCTCTGAAAGCACGTTGAGTGAGGCTTGGCAGCCAGGTGAAGGTGTGTTCATTCATCCACGTCACGTTGACAGGTAGATCGCCTGTGTCAGCCTCTTGGGCTTGTAGGTGGAAGACCCCGAAGCCCGCCGGAGACACCTGTCAGGGTTGTTCCTAGCCACACCTTGGACACCTTCACCCACCTGCTGTGGCCTCCCAGACAGGAGCTAATCAGTGAGTTGGTAAAGGGGCTGTGAGCTGGCAGGACACATTCAATTCCTGTTTTTGTTTTGCCCTTTCCTGCTTTCTGTCCTGGTCTGGTTAATAAAACAAAACAGAATTTCCAGTTACCCAGCATCTGTACGGTGAGAGGGTTGGCATTTTTAGGGGCTTTATTTTAAAGTGAAAATACTTCAATGAATTGGAGTGGGTACCACTTTCATGTACCACTGAAGATGACACAGAATCTGAATAAAATGAATGATGACTCGTTTTTACATGGTTGGCATTTGAAGTTCAGTTTGGTGAATTTTCAGTAAAGAAGACATTTCCTGTTTGTTTTTTTTTTCCTCACTAGTGCTAAATGTTTATTTTGTTCTTGAATCCAGAAATGACTTGATGATCTTTGTAAGACTTTGGCCCAAGATGCCCACCAGTAAAACATATTTTATAAGTATGTTGAATGAATAAATCAATCTTTGAAAATACTTCCCATCTCAAGAACATCTAAAGACCCATCTTAGAGGTCTTGGTTGAGCACTGAACTGCTAATTGCAAGGTCTGTAATTCAAACCCATCAGCTGTTCTTCAGGAGAAAAATGAGTCTTTCCGCCCCTGGTAGCGTAGTGGTTACCAGTCGGACTGTGGACCTCAAGGTCAGCAGTTCTAAACTACCAGCTGTTCCACGGGAGAAAGATGAGTCTTTCTGTTCCCGTAAAGATTTATAGTCTCGGAAACCCTATACAGGGTCGCTATGGGTCGGAACCGACTCCATGGCACACTGCTACCACCACCAAAGATATGCAACCTCAGAAACCCTCTACAAGGTCTCTGTGAGTTGGAATGGTATCCTTGGCAGTAAATTTTGAGGTTGAGTTTAATATTAGGGGCAATGGTAGAATTCTGCTTTCCTTAGGGGAGACCCGGTTTGATTCCCAGCCGATGCGTGTCATGCATAACCCCCGCCTATTGGTTAGTGAAGGTGTGCCTATTGCTGTGGTGCGGAACATTTTCACCTTAGCTTCCAGACTAACAGGCACTAAGAAGAAAGGCCTGGTGATGTACTCCCAGTCAGCCCATGAAAACCCTGTGGATCAGAACGGTCCAATCTGCAGTTGATCATGGGGAGAACACAGGCATGGAGTTGTCATGAGTCAGGCACTGAAGGCAGCACATTGAGTCTGTCTGTTATCAATGATCCCCCTGTAGGAATTAGTGCATCAGTCTTCTCTGTATGGAAATACCTAATATACTCCGTGGAGTCCTGGTGTGGCACTGTGGGATAGTGCAGTACACCGCAAGGTCGATTTGAACCACAAGGTCAGCGTTTCAAACTCACTTGGGATATGGCAAAATGCCATTTCCCAAGTGAGTTGGAAATCCACTCCTTGGAAACCCTATACAGGGTCTCTATGAGTTGGAACACACTTGACTACACTTCACAACAATAGCATGCTCGGGAGGCCATACAGAAGCAAGGCTCTTCTAGATCTCTGGTAGTGAACAGCAGTATAGAGGTGGCTCGATGCCAAAACCCCAACTGGCGTATTTGCAGCTTCCTTTTTTAATCCACTGTGGAGCTATAATACATGAATTTATTTGGATCTGTTTGTGACCTTATTTCCTCACTCTGCCTTGTTAAATCTTCATTTAAACAATAAGTATTCGATTCTGGTTTGTAGTGTGGTGCCTGGCTCATAGTATACACTCAGTGGAAACTTGTTGAGTGAATGAGTCAGCATCCTTGCCAAGACGAATCGGGCATAGATGCTCCTCTTGAGTAGAGTAGAGTGTACTTGGGGGAGAAGAACTGTAAATAAAAACTGATACAAGGCTAGAGAAGAGATAGCGATGGAAGCCCAGGGGACGGAGGAGTGGTTACCTTAGTGGAAGTGGAAGCTGCTCAGAGAAGGTCACAACTGTACTCAGATGACCCTCCCAGCTGTGCACTGGGCCATTCTGTGGGGTTTTCTCATTTATTTTATTTTATGGTGGTGTTATTAAGGGCTATCGAGTTAGTTGTGACTCATAACGATGCTGTATAGAGTTTTGTTGTTGTTGTTGTCAGGTGCCATCGAGTCGGAACCGACTCATAGCGACCCCATGCACAGCAGAACGAAACAATGTCCGATCCTGGGCCAACCTCA